TTGTTGAGTTACTAGGCTGTCTATTTTTAAAACTGTCCTGTCATTAGCTGGCTATGTGGTGTCTATATAACAGTTCGGCTCATAAATTAACTCCTCTACCCAAAATTGTTTCGCTCACAAAGTCTGGTTTTAGTTTTGTTTATACCCCATCAGCAGCAACAACTGAGTAGCGTCCCCTGACATTGTTGGCGCGTACTGTTAGGCCTAACGTGATAGATGGCTACAGCACATTTACTGTAAAGCATCTTCTACAAGGTGAATGCATTTGTACCGTAAAACATCTACTACACAAAAAAAAAACAACAACAACGTACTTAATCTTGTATTGAAAGCATTTAAAGTAAGATATTAACATTTTACATTACATTAAAATTTAAGTAAAACAATTTGTTTGTAGTTGTTTGACTGTGTTCAGAAATTAATACATTCTTTTTTTTTTCTTTATATCAGGAGGCGCGATATATATTTGCCCACTCTCTTCTGGTGTCAGTGACGTCATCAATGGACATCCACTGGTAAACATTGAGCTCTACAAGCCCCAGGACCAGATTCTGACCCAGATAGATGAATGTAGGTCAATCGATCAGCTGTAGCGTAGAAACGCGAGGTGGGGGGGGGGGGGGGGGGTGGAGAGCTTCAAAGGCAGACGGCAACAAGTCTGACAGTCTACATGTAACCGCAACAACGGCTGTTTACACTATTAATCGATGTCAAAATAAGCGTTTCCTTATTAAAAAAAACCCCACTACCCCTGCAACCTAGTAACGTATCAAAGATCGTCTCCGTTGTTAATATTGCTTAAGACATAGTGTTAGAACCAGGTTTAGGTTTACAACTAGAGAATCATCTATAGTCAGGATTTTAAACGACGTCAAATATATTTATCTGGCTATCCAGTCCTCGAGTTTATCTTAGTAAACAAGACCAATCGAACAACGAAGCACGCATTTTTTTATCACTCATCTAACACAACCACAAACGTCTTGATTTCAATAAGGTCCTTAACTCTTAATGAAAAAACAATTTACACTCTGACTGGGGCATATCAAGTCCCCCAATATCAATCATTCGACGTAACTTATTCTGCCGACCCAGCAGAAATTGACCTCAGTTCTAATAAACAACTATTGATTATTCAATAGCTCTGAGCCGCCGCACACCCCTTCCCCAGTGTACAGGATGCCTGGTCCATTGTTTGTTTTTCTCTTGCTTAGAGTGCCGGGTACATAAGGTCTTTAGATCTTGATAGACCTGAGACCTTCAAGTTTTTAATGGACTAGCAGAGGTCCATACACAAGGTCTTTAGATCTTGATAGACCTGAGACCTTCAAGTTTTTAATAAACTAGCAGAGGTCCATACACAAGGTCTTTAGATCTTGATAGACCTGAGACCTTCAAGTTTTTAATGGACTAGCAGAGGTCCATACACAAGGTCTTTAGATCTTGATAGACCTGAGACCTTCAAGTTTTTAATAGACTAGCAGAGGTCCATACACAAGGTCTTTAGATCTTGATAGACCTGAGACCTTCAAGTTTTTAATGGACTAGCAGAGGTCCATACACAAGGTCTTTAGATCTTGATAGACCTGAGACCTTCATGTTTTTAATGGCTAGCAGAGGTCCATACACAAGGTCTTCAGATCTTGATAGACCTGAGACCTTCACGTTTTTAATGGACTAGAAGAGGTCCATACACAAGGTCTTTAGATCTTGATAGACCTGAGACCTTCAAGTTTTTAATGGATTAGCAGAGGTCCATACACAAGGTCTTTAGATCTTGATAGACCTGAGACCTTCACGTTTTTAATGGATTAGCAGAGGTCCCATACACAAGGTCTTTAGATCTTGATAGACCTGAGACCTTCAAGTTTTTAATGGACTAACAGAGGTCCATACACAAGGTCTTTAGATCTTGATAGACCTGAGACCTTCAAGTTTTTAATGGACTAGCAGAGGTCGATACACAAGGTCTTTAGATAGACCTGAGACCTTCACGTTTTTAATGGACTAGCAGAGGTCCATACACAAGGTCTTTAGATCTTGATAGACCTGAGACCTTCACGTTTTTAATGGACTAGCAGAGGTCCATACACAAGGTCTTTAGATCTTGATAGACCTGAGACCTTCAAGTTTTTAATGGACTAGCAGAGGTCCATACACAAGGTCTTTAGATCTTGATAGACCTGAGACCTTCAAGTTTTTAATGGACTAGCAGAGGTCCATACACAAGGTCTTTAGATCTTGATAGACCTGAGACCTTCACGTTTTTAATGGACTAGCAGAGGTCCATACACAAGGTCTTTAGATCTTGATAGACCTGAGACCTTCAAGTTTTTAATGGACTAGCAGAGGTCCATACACAAGGTCTTTAGATCTTGATAGACCTGAGACCTTCACGTTTTTAATGGACTAGCAGAGGTCCATACACAAGGTCTTTAGATCTTGATAGACCTGAGACCTTCAAGTTTTTAATGGACTAGCAGAGGTCCATACACAAGGTCTTTAGATCTTGATAGACCTGAGACCTTCAAGTTTTTAATGGACTAGCAGAGGTCCATACACAAGGTCTTTAGATCTTGATAGACCTGAGACCTTCAAGTTTTTAATGGACTAGCAGAGGTCCATACACAAGGTCTTTAGATCTTGATAGACCTGAGACCTTCAAGTTTTTAATGGACTAGCAGAGGTCCATACACAAGGTCTTTAGATCTTGATAGACCTGAGACCTTCACGTTTTTAATGGACTAGCAGAGGTCCATACACAAGGTCTTTAGATCTTGATAGACCTGAGACCTTCAAGTTTTTAATGGACTAGCAGAGGTCCATACACAAGGTCTTTAGATCTTGATAGACCTGAGACCTTCAAGTTTTTAATGGACTAGCAGAGGTCCATACACAAGGTCTTTAGATCTTGATAGACCTGAGACCTTCAAGTTTTTAATGGACTAGCAGAGGTCCATACACAAGGTCTTTAGATCTTGATAGACCTGAGACCTTCAAGTTTTTAATGGACTAGCAGAGGTCCATACACAAGGTCTTTAGATCTTGATAGACCTGAGACCTTCATGTTTTTAATGGACTAGCAGAGGTCCATACACAAGGTCTTTAGATCTTGATAGACCTGAGACCTTCATGTTTTTAATGGACTAGCAGAGGTCCATACACAAGGTCTTTAGATCTTGATAGACGTGAGACCTTCAAGTTTTTAATGGACTAGCAGAGGTCCATACACAAGGTCTTTAGATCTTGATAGACCTGAGACCTTCAAGTTTTTAATGGACTAGCAGAGGTCCATACACAAGGTCTTTAGATCTTGATAGACGTGAGACCTTCAAGTTTTTAATGGACTAGCAGAGGTCCATACACAAGGTCTTTAGATCTTGATAGACCTGAGACCTTCAAGTTTTTAATGGACTAGCAGAGGTCCATACACAAGGTCTTTAGATCTTGATAGACACGATTTGTCACGCCAATCGATCTCTGAAGATTTTAAACGCCTGGTCTTGGTTGTCAGAGCTACACTATGGGGCCAAGCAAATAAACCATCGCAGAGAAACCCACCAGTTAAATTCATACAGAGAAACTAATCCGTTAAATCCATACAGAGAATCCCATCAGCTAAATCCATACCGTTAAATCCATACAGAGAAACCTATCCGTTAAATCCACAAAGAAAAAATGGCCATGTCAACAACACTGGATATTTACCATGCATGTGTTAACCAGACCTCCATATAAGAATGCACTTTCAGTTAACCCTCCACATGCCAGCACTTTCAGTTAACCCTTCACATACCAGCACTTTCAGTTAACCCTCTACATGCCAGCACTTTCAGTTAACCCTCTACATGCCAGCACTTTCAGTTAACCCTCTACATGCCAGCACTTTCAGTTAACCCTCCACATGCCAGCACTTTCAGTTAACCCTTCACATACCAGCACTTTCAGTTAACCCTCTACATGCCAGCACTTTCAGTTAACCCTCCACACACCAGCACTTTCGGTTAACCCTCTACATGCCAGCACTTTCAGTTAACCCTCTACATGCCAGCACTTTCAGTTAACCCTCTACATGCCAGCACTTTCTGTTAACCCTCTACATTCCAGCACTTTCAGTTTACCCTCTACATGCCAGCACTTTCAGTTAACCCTCCACGTGCCAGCACTTTTTCAGTTAACCCTCTACATTCCAGCACTAACTGGACTACAAACATGCCAACTATCCCCACGTAGGATGTACTTTAACCCTCCACAAGCCAGCACTGTAACTGCAATACGAATGTTTCATGTGGATTTAGCGTCATCTCCACCGGATGCAGGTTTAAAGTTAAATCCACACACGCTAAAGCTCCAGCAGTGACTTGTTTACAACCTTTGCAGACGATGAACTCAATTCTCAAATCTTTTGAGTCCGTGTCATTACCAAACTCCGATTAAATAATAAAATAGTAACATTATATTATGTCTTGTTACTCAATGGAACTTCTTAAACTTTAATAACTGACCATATCTACACAGATATACTATGATATACAAAACTATTAGTAGATTATTTTAGGGTTGTAATTAATAACTGGATTAACAGACGCTTCAGTGATTTTTCTGATGCAAAAGCCGAAATGATAAAAGATCTAAAATTTCCGTTTCCGTTTGTACGCTAGCCGGCTACGTAATGTAAATCTATATACAAACAATTCAGCCAAAAACTAGGTCACACACTATAAATAGAAGCCATTGGAGAGTTCGCTCATGAATATTTTATTTTACCACGATAAGGCAGTGCAATCTAATCCGACGACAGTAGGCTTATTAGCACTATTTTACAGCTTAATCAATATAATCAATTAAAATATAATAATTAACTTAGTTAATGACAACACAAAAATATGATCGGAATAATTTTAAAACCAAGATTTTTATAACAAAACACAAATCCCAACATTTTAAAAACTAAAACTACTTAAACTTGTACTGGACTCTATTGAAAAAAAAATCCTTACGTTATTTTCACGTCTGCTATATCCTCCCAGGGTGAGTTATCCAACAAGTACTCCGTCACGTCTGCTTACTATTGCGTTTCTTCCGTCGCGCGACCCAACAAGCCCCGCCACTTCCCAGCAGCCGACACCTCACGTCTAGCGCAGTTTTACTGTACCGCACGTCTGCTGAAGCTGCCAGTAATCGATTCTATGGACCGGGCGAGAGTTGCCTCCCAGTACACTTGGAAAGGAGTGGGGTGCGGGTGGGGGGGGGGTGCAACTGCTCATATCTCTATTTAAATTAAATATTTAAACAATTCAGCGACTACAAAAAAAAAAAAAAAAAAAAAATCTAATTAATTTTAAAGCTTAGTGTCATGTGACTAATTAAACCTTCAGCAAGCAAAAGATAATCAATTATGATCTGTTGCTTTAAATCGCGAGAATCAAACCCTACTCTAAAAACCACTAAACCTAATCACTAACCAAACTCTAACCCCAACTAAACGCAATCAATAACAAATAACTGAATATTCATTTGCGCCCCCCTCCCCCCATATAAAAATAAAAAAATAAAATAAACATTTCATGCTACTTTGCAAAATGTTTTTTTTAATGTTCTTCGAGTAGATAGCTTTTAAATTTGCTACTATCAAATAGATAAGATAGATTTGAAATAATTCTAGAAGAGTTGGGGTTTGTTGGTGATATGAAATAAAAAAAAAATAGACAACAGCTTTTGGGCAGCAGGTTTGATGAGCGGGTATTGGAGCGATAGAAAGATGGAACAACAGAGAAGTGGGTCACGATAGAAAGATGGAACAGCAAACAGAGAAGTGGGTCACGATAGAAAGATGGAACAGCACACAGAGAAGTGGGTCACGATAGAAAGATGGAACAGCAAACAGAGAAGTGGGTCACGATAGAAAGATGGAACAGCAAACAGAGAAGTGGGTCACGATAGAAAGATGGAACAGCAAACAGAGAAGTGGGTCACGATAGAAAGACGGAACAGCAAACAGAAGTGGGTGACGATAGAAAGATGGAACAGCACACAGAGAAGTGGGTCTCGATAGAAAGATGGAACAGCAGTAAAGTGGGTTACGATAGAAAGATGGAACAGCAAACAGAGAAGTGGGCCACGATAGAAAGATGGAACAGCAAACAGAGAAGTGGGCCACGATAGAAAGATGGAACAGCAGTGAAGTGGGTCACGATAGAAAGATGGAATAGCAGTGAAGTGGGTCACGATAGAAAGATGGAACAGCAGACAGAGAAGTGGGTCACGATAGAAAGATGGAACAGCAAACAAAAGTGGGTCACGATAGAAAGATGGAACAGCAAACAGAAGTGGGTGACGATAGAAAGATGGAACAGCACACAGAGAAGTGGGTCTCGATAGAAAGATTGAACAGCAAACAAAGTAAAGGGGGGCAAGATCGTGACATCTTGACAATTTGTAGCCGTCATATCATGTCTTTAGAGACTGACACCATTCGATAGGCGATCAATTTCCCTTGCCACATGTTTGTGTAGGGAGCACTTCCTGTTTGCTGGGGAAGGGAACAATTTTCCTTTCTCAGGGCTGGGCGAGAGAAAGCCCAAAGTAAGGGCTGGGAGAGAGAAAGCCCAAAGTAAGGGCTGGGAGAGAGAAAGCTTACATCAAAGTAAGGGCTGGGAGAAAGAAAGCCCAAAGAAGGGCTGGACGAGAGAAAGCCCACATCAAAGTAAGGGCTGGACGAGAGAAAGCCCAAAGAAGGGCTGGGCGAGAGAAAGCCCACATCAAAGTAAGGGCTGGACGAGAGAAAGCCCATCACAAAGTAAGGGCTGGGCGAGAGAAAGCCCATCACAAAGTAAGGGCTGGACGAGAGAAAGCCCATCACAAAGTAAGGGCTGGACGAGAGAAAGCCCATCACAAAGTAAGGGCTGGACGAGAGAAAGCCCATCACAAAGTAAGGACTGGGCGAGAGAAAGCCCATCACAAAGTAAGGACTGGGCGAGAGAAAGCCCATCACAAAGTAAGGGCTGGACGAGAGAAAGCCCATCACAAAGTAAGGACTGGGCGAGAGAAAGCCCATCACAAAGTAAGGACTGGGCGAGAGAAAGCCCATCACAAAGTAAGGACTGGGCGAGAGAAAGCCCATCACAAAGTAAGGACTGGGCGAGAGAAAGCCCATCACAAAGTAAGGACTGGGCGAGAGAAAGCCCATCACAAAGTAAGGACTGGGCGAGAGAAAGCCCATCACAAAGTAAGGACTGGGCGAGAGAAAGCCCACATCAAAGTAAGGGCTGGACGAGAGAAAGCCCATCACAAAGTAAGGGCTGGACGAGAGAAAGCCCAAAGTAAGGGCTGGGCGAGAGAAAGCCCACATCAAAGTAAGGGCTGGACGAGAGAAAGCCCATCACAAAGTAAGGACTGGGCGAGAGAAAGCCCACATCAAAGTAAGGGCTGGACGAGAGAAAGCCCATCACAAAGTAAGGGCTGGACGAGAGAAAGCCCAAAGTAAGGGCTGGGCGAGAGAAAGCCCACATCAAAGTAAGGGCTGGACGAGAGAAAGCCCAAAGAAGGGCTGGGCGAGAGAAAGCCCATCACAAAGTAAGGACTGGGCGAGAGAAAGCCCATCACAAAGTAAGGGCTGGACGAGAGAAAGCCCATCACAAAGTAAGGACTGGACGAGAGAAAGCCCATCACAAAGTAAGGGCTGGACGAGAGAAAGCCCATCACAAAGTAAGGACTGGGCGAGAGAAAGCCCATCACAAAGTAAGGGCTAAGCCAGAGAGCAAGAGAAAGGCTACACCTAAACAAACAAAAATAGTTTTAGAAGTCCCCGATTAGACTTTGCTTATCATCAGATAGATGATAGGGTGTTTTTAGATAAAAATTTCCTAAAAATATCTACCTCAACTTTACGTTTCTAAAACTGATTTCAAAGAGGAGCAGGTAGAGTTCTAGTAGTCGTCAGACGTGGATGGAAGATAGCAAAGCACCGCACGCCACGTTTCATGAGTTTATTTTTGTAACGGTTGAAAAATTCCAGTAAACTCACACGTAACAGATCTACATAACACGCTCATACGGACATATGTAACTCAGTTACAGACATATTTATTTCTAGGTGTAGTGAAGGGGGTTGGAACCGTAGCTGTGAATACTTACAAATGCTTTATGTCAATTCTTCTGTATAAGCCGTATGTAAATTATAACCAATCTGTACAGATGTCGTATGTCAACATAGTGTTACCCACACCTCCCCTGGCCCCAGGACTCTAGAACATATAAAGGTGTCAGCAATGTCAGTCCTTAACACATCAAACATCTACATCTCGTCTGCTGAGGTTCTCATTTGATTTGTCACCAGTATCCACCTTTATTGTTAGCTGAATCCCATGTTGATGCAGCTTTATGTCTTCTGCTATGTAGTATTTGTGAGATCTTCCTAGCTCACCCAAGTCCCTACATCCCCCCATGACTGTTGTAGTTAAAGGCTACATTACTGTTGTACATAAAGGCTACATTACTGTTGTAGGTAAAGGCTACATTACTGTTGTACATAAAGGCTACATTACTGTTGTAGTTAAAGGCTACACAACTGTTGTACGTAAAGGCTACATTACTGTTGTACATAAAGGCTACATTACTGTTGTAGTTAAAGGCTACACAACTGTTGTACACAAAGGCTACACAACTGTTGTACATAAAGGCTACACAACTGTTGTACATAAAAGCTACACAACTGTTGTAGTTAAAGGCTACACTACTGTTGTAGTTAAAGGCTACACTACTGTTGTAGTTAAAGGCTACACAACTGTTGTACATAAAAGCTACACAACTGTTGTAGTTAAAGGCTACATTACTGTTGTAGTTAAAGGCTACATTACTGTTGTAGTTAAAGGCTACATTACTGTTGTAGTTAAAGGCTACACAACTGTTGTACATAAAGGCTACACAACTGTTGTACATAAAGGCTACACAACTGTTGTAGTTAAAGGCTACATTACTGTTGTACGTAAGGGCTTCACTACCTTGACGGACTGGCCAGTGGCGCAGCGAGGTCGGGTGTCACCCGGTGCGGCACTTAATGGTGTCACCCCACAGAGGCGTAGCGACTCTTCCCGGGGACAAACTTTCAAGTTTTCGATTTGCACCCCCCCCCCCTCCCAAACTTTCGATTTGCACCCCCCACCCCCCTCAAGTTTTCGATTTGCACCCCCTCCCCCTCAAACTTTCGATTTGCACCCCCCTCAAGGTTTTTGCTATATATTTTGCTATTTTTTGCCTTGGTTTCACCCCCCTAAATGGTGTCACTCGGTGCGGTCCGCACCCCCCCCCCCTCGCTACGCCCCTAGGACTGGCTAATCAGTCAGATGTTACAGAAAAAAACTGGTTGGAGACGTCTGGTTGAGTATAAAACATTTGAACGTAATTGTTTCTTATATTTCCTGAATTGTTTGTCTTATTTTCTGATTTTCTGATGTTTTTTTTTTTAAAATATTTTTAAACGTAAGGTAGTTCCGTGTTAAATTTAAAAGCTTATTAAAAAACAATTTACACCTGCAGACTTTTCTTATTGGAACACAAAACAGCTTAACCAAAAGTGACAATTGGATCAAAACTTTACTGTACAGTACTCATTGAACCATCCTAACACATCATTAGTAAAGGCCTGAACTAGAATGTAGGAGACGAACCCCAACATATAAGGACGTGTATTAAAACACAGATGGTACATCTTATCTCCCCTGTTCACTTACCTCCCCTTAAGTCCTGTACTGTCAGAAAGGGGAGGAAATCTATTACCTCCCGTTTAATGTTTTCCAACGATCACTTGACCTACCTTTGACCCAGGATTGAGGTCACGATGTGAACGATCTCACAGTTAATAAGATAATTATTTTAGCTTTGGACAGATCGACCTAGCCTACATGGTTTAATTACATACACTACCAATAACATTAGGATCAACATTTGTAGAATCAGACAAAAACTATTTAACAATTTTTTAGGCTTATACATTCAATTTAACAGATCAGCATTTTACACAGACGACCACACACACACACATACACACACACATAAACATATATATTATGTAGATGGGTGGATGGATGGATGGATGGATGGACGGACGGACGGATGGATGGATGGATGGATGGACGGATGGACGGATGGGTGGATGGACGG